TCCGTTGGGTCCCGCCCCCCGCCCGCCCCCGCGCCCCCCCGCGGCCGCCCGCCCCCCCCGCCCCCCCCCGCCCCCCCGCGCCGGGCGCGGGCTCTGAGAAGATAACGGCCTTGCAAACCCAAATGGATGGATATAGAAGTCAAATAATGTTGGAATTGAACATCTCTCTCAGGTCCGATGCATATTATCTTCTAGGCCCTACCTAGTATTACCTAGGTAGGGACCTGGTATCAATACGCGAGCGTTATGCTGACATTTTCAAGGCTTTACCTCATGAAGTCATTACACAATCAAGAAACAATGCTGAAGCAGCTATTGCAGTCTCAAGGTAATAAATCCCAATCAAGAGATGGGACAAGCTCTATAATAACCCGTCATGATGGCTTGGGTTCGGCATTAGCCGAGTATCTTACGAATGCAATTAATATATCCGACTCCAATGACTCGAGGGAAACACTTCGCAAAGAGCTACTCGAAGCTGTCTATGCGTCTGCTGGGGACCCAGGTAGCGATGCCTCAGCTTTTGAAGTTACAGAACCGCGAAAATTAGCCCTCCAAGAGAAATTCATTTCAAGCTTGCATTATGACGGTATATACGACCGTGAACTTAGCATCGCTGACGCTCATGAAAAAACTTTTCATTGGATATTTCATCCGGAAGATAATCAAGACCATCCTTGGGACAACTTCCGTCACTGGCTCCAGACGGACCAGCAATTATATTGGATCACCGGAAAAGCAGGAGCCGGCAAATCGACGCTAATGAAATTCATCTCCCAGCCTATCCCACCTGGAAAAGGAAGTCATTCAGGCGAAGGGGAGCCTCGCTCGACAGAATATCTTCTTCCGTGGGCTGGAGGGAAGCCGCTCATAGTGGCTTCATTCTACTTTTGGGCGGCCGGCTCAAAAGTGCAGACATCAAGGGAAGGCCTTTACCGCACACTGTTAAGACAGATTTGCCAGAGTTGTCCTGAAGCCATACCTCACGCTTCCTCAGAAAGATTGGAAGCATTATGTCTCTACAATGAGGATCCAATGCCATTCTGCGAAGAAGAACTGCGATATATGTTAGATAACGCAATTACATTCGCCAGTTCAACACACAGCCTGTGCTTATTCATCGACGGGCTTGACGAGTTTGATGGCTCCCATGAGGACCTGATAGAGTTCGTTAAGGGTATAATCGAGACGTTACCAGTGAAGGTCTGCGTAGCGAGTCGTCCTTGGGTAGTGTTCGAAACTGCTATGAAAGGCAAACCAAGCCTCATGATCGAAGACCTCACATTCAGTGACATTAGAAGTTACGTCACATCAAGACTTGAATCCGACCCCAATTTCACGTCACTTCAGAAACGCGAGGCAAAGTTCTCTCAAAATCTCATTGAAGATGTCGTGCGAAAGGCTTCAGGGGTGTTTCTTTGGGTTAGCATTGTTGTCACATCCCTTCTGGAGGGAATCAAATACGCGGATCGAGTTTCCGACTTGCAGCGACGACTTTCTCAACTCCCTTCCGACTTGGAGTTATTGTATGATAGGATACTTCAAGACCTGGATCCTTTTTATCTTGAGCATGCGGCCCAGTATTTCCGCTTAATGGTTGCATGCGAGGGACCACCTGAGGCACTGTTATTGTCTTTTGCCGACGAAGAAGAAAACGAGTTCGCTATTCAGCTTCCTAACTCTCCATTATCGCCCGAGGAAATACAACATAGGGTCGAAACAATAAGAATACGGCTGAACTCGCGTTGTAAAGGATTAATCAGCGTTCCGGAATTAAGTAAACAGCACCTGAATGCTAATATTCAGCTTCATGCCGTTACGGCTCAATACCACCATAGGGCCGTCAGAGACTATTTTGAGCAACCTAAGATACAAGAGAAACTCATGGGAATGCTGAAAAAGTCATTCGATCCATATTATAAGCTGTGTTCTGGATCCTTATGCATGCGTAAAGGCATTGAGGATCTTGGCGATGGCTCATTGAGTATTGTAGGATCTACTAGCCCTCTCCTACAATGCTTACGATTCGCATCAAAAGTTGAGGAAGGGAATACTCAAACTATGATTAAGATCCTAGACGAGCTAGAAAGTGTTACGACAAATCAGCACATAAGACGATGTCATGTATCCCTGGTGAGGCCCTACTGCGACTACGAGCGGTTCGGGGAAACTTTTATTTCACTTGCCATAAAGCTTCAAGTAACAGAGTATGTTAGAAGAAAGGTACAGCCATATATTGCCTACAGGAAAGTGTTAATACCAAACGGTATTGTGCACTTATTACCAGCAAACGGTCCCTTAAAGACCGTTTTCAAAGATTCCGGTTAGGCAATCAAAGCACCGTCATTCCCTCAAATCTGTGGTCTCTGCTAAGAGATGCAACCCCTTCTATGTCTACAGATTTAACAATGCTTTCCATTCTTCTGGAAAAGGGTGCTGACCCTAATTTCACTTTTGGGTATAGGCAGCCTACAAGACTTGAGGAGCTCAGTATATGGACAGCGACCCTGGCATTTGTATTGGACGCTACGTACCGTGAGCTTGATATCGATCTAGACTTATGGATAGATGTCCTTCGGTTGATGATGGTAAATGGGGCCAGCACAAAGAAAAGGTTTATCAGCATGGCTATGACTGAGGTCTCTTTGCAATACACGAACGATGTATCCGAACTTTTCAACGGTGAATTTGCCGTAACAAGTATTCAACGCACACTGCGGTACATTAGGAATCACAGAGGACAGCTTGAGAAAGGTATTAGATTTGGCGACAAGATTTGGAATAAAAAAAGGGCTACCTGAAAACGACTATCGGGATTGTAAGAGCCTACCTATGGGTAAGTCGACACGCCGTCGCTGGGCCCACCGTAGCTGGGGCCACTTATTTCACATATAAAATTAGCAAATTTGCATACTTGTATTTAATCCAAGAGAATAGATAAAAATAAGCATTTTTCTGATATAGTTTTTTTATATTTATCTAATTTCGTATGTATCACGAAACGAAAAGGAGGCTACTAACGACGATAATGTTCTGGAGAACCAGAACATCAAGAGCCTTGCAGCTTCGCTGCAAGGCGGCTTTATGTACAAGAAGAAAGACCTGACTCGCGAGTGACTCCTGATCATGACACTATGAATTTTTTTTAATGCCCGAACAAGTTCGGGCACTAGGTACCTACATAAACATCGTCATATGTGATAGGATAACGCCAGCATTAATCTAAGTCATCTAAACATTCCCTCCCAAAAGCCAAGTTCACAAAACTCGCCATGTGTGTTTTCAAATCGCTCTCGAAGAAAGCAAGTTTAGTATGGAATTCCTTGGCAGTGCCGCCCAGGAGTTCTTTCGAGGAGCGTGGGGATTCGTAGCAGTCAAAGCGTTTCTGGACAACCTTCGCAAAGTGCAAGCGGGCGGCTCGCTCGTGTGTGGCTCTCAGACGTTTGCTATAGGTATTGTTAAGAGATAGGCCGTCGTCGAACACGTCGAGGTCACTTGTTTCGTGTTCGGTATAAACGAATGGTCCATGAACGAGGCGTCGCACCCTTTTCTTGAAGTAACTGTCTAACGGGACAAGAACGTCCCGCAAGCCGAACTGGCATCCTGTTACGTCGATAACCCATCCTTCACTACCTAACCAGACAAGCAGGATGCTGTGCGCTGGCGTGGTACATGATATGTTTTCCGGTTCCTCTCCAGAATCGCAGTGCCATACAACCTTCCACGGAAGTATTGGTTGCAAGTTTACATCGACAGCCTTTAACATCGATGCAAGTCCTTGATTATTGTAAGCATTCTGATGATACCCTCCTGATAGGTACCTAGGTATACAAGGTAGGATGTCATTATCTCACCTTCAAGAAGAAAACGAGCAAAGGGACCAAGAAGACATAGGGCAGTTGTGCATTGGCTAATTGCCAAAACTGCCTCTTTATGTCGGGTGTTAATTGCCAGATTGCTCGGAAATGGCTGATACCAGGGACGAAATGGGATCTTCGGGTTCAGGTGTAAGTGGAGGGCGCCCTCCTTATGCTCGACTCCCGTTAGTGGGAGGTCGAACACGTATTCCCGGTAAGCTAAGAAGGCGGTCTTCAAAAGGGTAGCAACTCGGAGTAGCATCAATCGCTTCTTCAACACGTGGCACTGCGTCTTATGCGTCGGCCAGTGCTGCCGCTGGCATTTGGAATCGCAATAGGCGATCGCCGGGGCATCGCCGGGATGATACTCTGGTGCATTCAAACAGCCGGTGCATCTTTTCACTGCCGATTTACCACAGTTTGCGCATGATAGGGTGGTGCAGGTATATTCCATGGTTCATCTTCAAGAATGTTGTTGAATAATAGTTCAAATGGTTATTGTGTTTAGGTAGAAAGCACAACAAGCTTGTAAACTTCAAATTCGGCCAAATTCGAAGTTTACAAGAATCGTTTCAGCAACTTAGCCTACAATCCGGCTTATCTACCTATGTACTATTGAACAACATCGTAGTTACCTTCTACGTGTTGGTTGCGACTTCATTATGACTACACGCCCATCATGATTAGGGTGGGCTAGCTCAGCCCCTAATCACCAAACCGAGGAATCATGGTGTCAATACACTACCTAAGGTACCTGGAATTTATAAAGGAGTCACTTTATAGGAGAGAAAGTAGGTGGCTCATTCCTTGTTAATGACTACGACGACATAGTAGTCTCGGCAGTCTTGTGCCTTAAATGCGACAGGCAGTTCAAGTCTTCACAACCACAAATATAGCTTAGTGTATATGATATGGACAGAAAAAAAAGTATTTTTGGATTGAAGAAAGGATTGAAGAAAGGACCTGAGTTGGAATCTTAGGCATTGGACTTTCAAGCTTTGAATAGATCATCCGAAATCCCCCAGTGACACTTTTCACCGTCTATAGACTTATCAACAATATAATTTGTAAAGAAGAATAGCAGAGGAGGATCGGTTATAAAAGTGTCGTTGACTGCCTATAGAAGTCTTGTTCACGCTGGACAACCATCAACCTGAGAAGTAGCCGTTACAAATTACTTGGCGATGAAAGAGCTGAATGCTTACACACTTATATCCTTGACAATTCAGGTTGCTCCAACATCAGTATAGCATCTTGAAGCTCTATGTAATATACCGTAAATAAAGCAATACCTGTCATTAATCTTGTGCATACCTATAAGCCTTCAACGTTTGTAGTCCTTGCGAAGACCCTGTCAGTACTGGCCAAAGTTGACAGGGGCAAAGTCAAGGCTTCGCATTTAACATGCTTCCGATTTTTTTTTTCTTTCTAGAAGAACTAATCCCATAATTAGTGCTACTAGTAGCTAAGGCTCTTTGAGGCTTCATCTCTAAAGCCAATATGTAAACTAGGTACACACGCTCTTGGAAATGAATTTGTCGGAAACCCAATAACGGGTATCTCCGCGTGTTGCCACTTTAGCTACTGCGGGGAATTCACTCTACTCACCAGCCAAGAAAGCTGCGAATCCTCTCTTTTTTAAGCAGCTCCGACGTAAACACCGTCTGAACTGGGCTCTTGACATGTTATTGGGAACCTGAGCTCGATACGAGTAAGAAGAAATTAAAGTAACTAGTCCATAAACACCAGAACCTCTACAATATAAAGCCATATTGTGATGCTTATAAGTAAACTAACTTGGCAAGTCCGTAGACTACCTAGGCTAGGGCCGCCGGGCCGTCGTCGGCAAAGCTTCATCAAAGACGTAAGACATGGCATGGTTTCCACTATATATAAACCTGGGGTAGCCGTCCAATTCCTGCTTCTTGAATGAATAGATGTAGACCAGAAGAAGAAAAAAAACGTCAAACCGAGCACGTCATATCAGCCTAATTGTTGTCCATCATGTCTACCATCAAAACCTCCGTGATCCTCGAGGCGGGGCCGAATACTGACATCTGGAAGAAGCCGCCCACGACGAACATCTGGACAGGTACTAGAAGCCCTACACCTCTAAGAAAAAAAAAGCAGCTAACTTCCGTCAAGCTCCCATATCGCACACGTCGTCAGGGCTCCTGAAGGACTTCCAATCCGCCCGCGTCACCTTCTGGGCGGACTGGCAGGAGCGGTACGACCAAGGCGGCCTCCTGCTAGTGCCGAAGCGGCGGTCCGCAGCGCACGTCTCGCCGCCGGAGCGGTGGATCAAGACGGGCGTCGAGTACTACCTGGGCGAGCCGCAGCTCAGCACGGTGAGCACGGACCGGTTCGCGGACTGGAGCGTCGCGCGCCTGACGCTCGGGGAGAACGAGCGCGCGCCCGCGGAGGCAGGCGGCGTCACCGTCGAGATCGCGCGCGAGGCCGACGAGCACGGCAAGAGCCTGTGGGTGTACCGGCTGGTGCTGGACGCGAGCGGCGCCGTCGCCGAGAGGATCCCCCTGCGGGAGATCTGCTGGGTGCTCGCGGACGAGGACGAGGCCGGTGGCGAGGAGTGGCTCCTGGACGTCAGCCCGCTGGTGGCTCGGCCGGAGAAAAACGCGACCGACTCGCTCAAGGTCGACTTTAAGACTTTCGAGGTCCAGTGGCGGTCTTGAGGAGATGGGGAATGATGATGTTCATAGGGACCTACGAAAGGTATATACCTACCTACATAGGTAGGTATCTGCTAAAGCGAGATCAGATCGACAGTTTGCCTCCTTTAGTCTAATTACGGCCCGTATTCGGGGGGAATGTCGGGGATGACTACTCCTTAAGAGAGTTTTTGCAGGCCGAATATAGAGCCACTCCGGCCACTCCAGTCAAACTTAAGCAAGCCTCAATGGACCGTGGCACGTTGCCGTAGTGACTAGGTAGCTTGCAGCTCTTGTGATGTCCCAAACACCTGGAGCTGGATTTTAGGAACTTTGATAGGAAAATTCTTGTCGAGATAGTAAGTAGAGCGAGTGGATGTTACATTGATGGATGCTACATTGATTGACAGTGCCTCTATTATTGGCAGACTTGATTGGGATAGGTAGCTGCCGAAGATCGCCACATTTGTACCTAATGTAAGGGTAGGGATTCTAGATAGATGCAGGCTAGGTTAGGTACCTACCTCACATAAAACCCCCCGCAGTGAGCGCATCTTATCAACGTATCAAGCTTACAACTGCTGGTGTACCATTCTGACATCAACAACCATAACCTATCACGTGAATGTTCACTGCCACTGACACTCACATCATGTACGTAACTTAAGGTACCTCCTATATATACCTTCCATGTCGGTTCCTATGTGATTGTATTTGTATCGTCATCGTGACGTTCGACGTTCACAACTGCTCCGCACCGAGTAACCGTAAATTCCCACGACCAGCTACGCGCCTTATGACGATGCAACCAAGAAGGTATCCTGTACTTCTCCCTTCGACAACTCTTCCGCAGGAGGGAGGGGAGCCTTCAAAACCTGGTCCAAGGCGGCAGAGACCTGGTGCATGCACCGCATGTAGGCGCCGTAAAATTAAAGCAGGTACCCAATTCTACTTACTGCTGAATTCTTTTACTGTAATTGCTTTTGGTTGACCCAGCATAGTGTGATGGCATACGGCCAAGATGCACTACTTGCGCAAAACGGGGCATGTCATCCTGCATCTACATTGATAAGGCCAAGGCTAGCCCTGAGGCGATGGAAATCCTTGAGCTCCTGAAGTCGCTCCCTATAAATGAAGCATTTGCTCTCCTAGGGACGCTGAGAGAAGAGGGGGATCCGGCAACCGTCTTATCGGGATTGAGAGATTATGGCCTTGAGAACCATTCGTCGTCATCAGGGGCAGATACCCAAGGGCCTATCCCGCCTAGAACCATGCTAGAATTAGAGTTGATGGCCAACAACTCAAAGGCATATCATACCTTGCGCCGAATAAGTCCATCTGCCTTGGCCAAGAGTGATCTCCTCCGCCCGATACGTCCATCTATGAACGACTTCCGCATGTGAGTTAACCTTGCTCTATACGATGAGGACTATTTTAAGGGACCAAGTATTGACATCCTCGAATGTAGGGACTCGCCACCTCCTGCCGGCGTAACTTGGGAAGGGAGACATTTCCCACTTCTCATAAGGTCCGGAGAAGAAGTTAGTTATTGCGATGAACGACTTCGTAATCTGCAAGTCGGCTTCTGGACTGACATACCTATTTCTAATAATCTTGCGGCACGAGTTATCGATATATATATGACAACTGATCATCCCCTTCTAGGTCTCTTTAGTCCAGACCTGTTTATTGCAGATCTTGTCAATCATCAAGATAGGTTCTGCTCGCGTCTCCTTTTCCATGCTTTGATGTATCTTGGCTGTGTGAGTTGTAAATATGTCTTAGAAGGTCGAACTCAGCTAAACAATATGTATTAGCAAATGTACAGTGCCTTCGACAAGGATGCAATGTACTTTGCCAACAACTTCTTTGAAGAAGCCGAAAAACTCTGGAAAGAAGAGCAAGACTCGTACACGGCCGTGGCAGGCGCTGTATTACTTAGTCTGTCTCTTATAGGAAACAGTAGAGACCATGCCGTGCTCTCTTACGCCAAAAAAGCAATGCAAATGGGTAGGAACCTAGGTCTCTTTGATACCACCGAGGAAACTGCTTCAAAAATTGGGGTGGTATCGGGAGAAGATATGACAACTCGCTGCTATGCAGCTTGGGGGACGTTTAACTGGAACGTGTAAGCAGTACTCTACGCACTGAGCAAGTTCCAAGCCAACGCATACTTATTTAACAGGCTTATATCTTTTTTCTACCGACAACCGGGCGCGGAAAGCCCAAGCTCAGCTCCAACATTGCCCATTCCGGAAGAAACGATACTGGAAAGGGGATTTGAAGGCATGGCCCAAGGAAATCCAGTAAATGAAGATCCCCAAAAGATAATCTTCCCCGTGCTCTGTCGTTTTTGGCAGATCATCCGAGGTGCCGGGTGGATCTACACCCCAGCTGAGGGTAGTCCGCCTGATATCTCTAGGATGGCTCTTGTAGAACATACGTTCCGAGAACTTATCGCCTGGGCGGAATGTCTTCCATCCCCATTACTTCGAGCCGAAGGCCGGTCTCATCATGTTATTGTGATTCAGTGAGTACCTAACCTAAACGCAAAAAAGAAAGTGTTGGTAGGGACCTTGATAACTAACTAGGTATATCTAGCATATGGCTTCATTGTGCTATCCTTGATGTATTCAGACCATTCATCGGAAAGCCTGAGGATCAGCGACCACGTCTGACAACATTTTCAGCACGATATAGTTCTCCAGATGCAGCATATGCCGCTTCGGTCGGGCAACTCAAAAGTCTTATCGTTGAATATCGCAGCAATTACGTAGCATCCACATATTCGATCCTTTGGCATACTGGGCTTCTTTATCTCGCGAACGCCATGTTAAAAGACACTAGAGACCCCGAATGGCGCGTCTACCTACTTTTGTGTCTATACGGTTACGAGGGTCTTAGTCGTCCGTACCTCATATCCGAGGTGATTGCCCAGGGCTTGTTAGCGATGACTCTGAAAGAAACCGATATGACAGGAAGTGAGGCGCAAAGGATAATTAACGAAGTCAAGGAAGGAAGACTCGAAGGTATAGAGCGAGGCCATGATGACGAAGCCCGTGCTACATTTATGGTCGATCTGGAACTGGCGCTGAAAAAGCCCGAAGAGGCCAGAGCTGAGAACCTAGCAGCTGAGTTCGATAACCTAGCCTTATTCAGGGAATTTCTCAATGAGGAGCAGCCAGAGGAACAGAACTAAGAGTAAGGCGAGAATGAATGTATGGTGGATGAAATGGGATAAGGTTGACGGGATGGATAATTTACCTGGACTAGGTAAGGTCTCTTGGATGAAATACGTGATACATGTACCTAACCTTAGGTACCTTACCTAATTCAAGTGTGCACGGTGCACTTGTAGTTTAGGTACCTAGGTATATATAATTGGAAAGAACATTGAACATTATAAATGTACCTAGTTACCGTTAAATATTAAGATAGGAAACTGCACAGGTGTTATGATATCAGGTACCTACTTCCTAAGGTAAATTTTCTCTTTAAACATAGAGGCAGGATCTCATATCGTACCTGGCGAAATATTAACATATATTTACATAGAAGGAGGTACCTACCTAACCTAGTAATTACTATGCATGGCCTCTGCATCCCTAAAACTTGAAAACTTTCCTTCTACAATTACCAGGTAACAAACACCAAACACTACTTACGGCGCCTTGTCGAATCCTATCTTCCAAGCTTTTCTGTCTTTCTTTCTTAAAAAGCAACATTCAAGGATTAAAAATCCGGCATGGCAATACTAAGGGACGTTCCAGGTATCCAAGTTACTGTGCAGGTCGCTGGTAATGATGCGATTGAGTACGAGGATCCCGACGCGTCGGAAGGAGGGGAAACCAGAGACGCGACTTGTCCTACTTCAATAAAGTATATTGAATGCGTTGATGAAGCCGAATTCGCCATCAAGCTAAGAGTTGATGATACCTACCAGTGGGGGCATAAAAATAATGCTCTAATGACGCATCTTCGACTTGACGGCAAATCTGTTTCGGGCATTATCGTATCGCAAACGGCAAGAGTCAACGGCACTGCGATAGGGATTAACAAAGGAGAGTACGCATACTGCACCCAAACGGACAGATGGCTTTTTCGTAAATTCAAGTTCTCTGCTGTTGACGTCGGTATGCTTCGTGAAGTCGTCGGCGTGGGAATAATCAACTAACTGAAGCTCAAGTTGACGATTCGAACAAGAGCCGAGTCGAGAAAGATGTCAAAATAGCCAGGCATCTCGGGTTAATTCAAGTTAAGGTCTTTCGGTGCATTCCTCTGGGCACTTATAGGAAGCCGACTCCAAGGTCTGATTTTCAGCAAAGTGACAAGTTGGAGCTTGCGGAAAAATCGCTTAAGGGCAAAGCTATTTCACATGGAACCTCGTATGTGTTCCCACACAAGTACCTGCTTATATGCAAGGCCTGGACTAATATGTAACCAACAAAGGTTTTCATCAGGACAGCATACACGTACTCCCAACAACCGTAGAGTAGCATATATCGACGGGTACGATAAGCCCATCGCGATGTTTCAGTTCCATTATAGATCTAGAGGTATGATGATGAGCAGGCGGTAATTGCATCTCGAAAAGTCTAACCAAACCTTCTAGAGGCTCTAAAACGAGAGATGGTCATTCCTCGGTCTCCATCGCCAGCCCCGGAGCCGAAATGCGAAATCGCTCAAATGTCGCGCGCAGAACTGGAGCGGTTAGCCAGAGAGAGACTCGACCAGCTACAGGTTTGTAACCTACCTACCTACCTACCTAAGTTATATTCGCCGAGGATATTATTTACTAACAAGATTCAGAACGATCAAAGCATTAAAGAGGAGCGTAAGCCTATGGTCAAGAACGAAGTCGGTGGGACCATTGACTTGACCGAAGAGATCAAGCGGCCTATAAAGTCCTCCCGACGGGTGCGCGTTGCACCGAATGAAGTGATTGATCTTACGGACGATTAAAATAATGATCCAGACCGATACGGTACCTAGAGGTGCCTGCATTATCCGAATCTTGGGGTCGCATCGAAATTTGCAAGATTAGTCCATGCTGAAGTCTATTAACGTCTCAAATATTCATACGTGACACTTTATTGACCAGACAATCCGAGCACTATTCGACTTGGCATTTCGTTCTTTTGTTGGTAAGGTTATGGTATGTAACCGCCGTTTATTGTACTTAAGATATTAATAACAAATGTATTCCCATGCTTCTAGGAGATGATGAGGCTAGCTGAGTTTTAGCGTTGCCAGTCCCTTGCAAGTCCCTTGCAGAAAATGGAACCCCCCAACATCCCCAACATCGTATGGCACTACATTAGGTGGTACCTTAGCTCCCCACTTACAAACTAACAGGTAACAAGGGAGGTCCTGCACATACATAACGTAGCTTGATTTTTTTTTTTTTTTTTGTTTCCCCACGAAATCTCAACAATCTTCCGGAGTATTCGCCAAACTTCACCACTCTCTACCCCGTTCAGATTCAGCCATTGAGCACCCACAGACACAATGGCCGATATCAAGAAGCCAGTAAAGAAGTCTTCGCCTGTAAAGAATGGCTACTTGATCCTCTATAACGCCGTCTCGGCCGCCCTCTGGCTCACAGTGTTGGGCCGAGTCGTTAACGTCAATGTTACTGGCACTCCACAGGCGGTCTATCCCGCTGTTGGCGAATTCTGCAAATGGACGCAGACGTTGGCCGGAATGGAGGTTTTGCACTCGCTGTTAGGTGCGTTTTGTTCCCCAGTTACTTATTTTTCTGCGTACACGATGCCTATTCGCATGACTTGGGGATGGATTCCCATGCTACAGCCCTCTCAACCTTTTCCATTTAAGAATGGGACAATTCAAATTCAATCCGACAAGCTAGGAAGCTGACATCTGAATTGCTACTAGGTATCGTACGAGCTCCGTTCTTCACGACCTTCATGCAAGTCTTTAGCAGATACGCAATCGTGTGGGGGATAACCGGACTATTCCCCGAGCTTGCTCTCGGGAGTGGCAGCGGTGATGTCTATAGCAGCATTGCCTACTCCTCAATGTTAGTAGCATGGGGCGTCACCGAAGTCATCCGATACTCGTATTTTACGCTGTCTCTTTCCTCGGGCGGACAGCCACCTTCTATACTGCACTGGCTGCGTTACCACACCTTCTTCATTCTGTACCCCGTCGGTATCTCGAGCGAAGCGTACCTAATCTGGCGCGCCGTTGAACCCGCCAAAGACGCTATCAGCCCTCTATACTCGACTGTGCTCTTCGGATATGTCGCATTAGTATACCCTCCTTGTATGTCAAGCCCCAATGAATTCGTCCGAGAATATATGCTAATGCAATACTTCCAGCTGCGTATTTCTTGTATACGCACATGATGTCTCAAAGGCGCAAGATTTTTGGAGCTAAGGCACAGAAGAGCACAAAGTAGAACTCGCATACTGTAGCCAACTGGACGGGTTACAAAACCCTAGCGGAAGAGATAAAAAATATATTCATGCAAGGTATCCATATAAGGGGTGGGGGGTAATATATATGTAGAAGTGTAGCATTGTAGACGTAATACACCGATCAAAATAGTTTGGGGACTATTCGGTAATTGCCATCTATTGAATTCTGCGTCGGCCGCTTGATTCATACCACTCGTTTCGAGACCAGCGCACTATCAGGTTCTTCGCATCTTCAGATAATTTGCGGTATCCCGGGTTATCTTTTGGCTCAAACATTGCTGTATACGTCAGTACCCTGACATGTGGACGGTTCAAGTTGTGGAGGGAAAGCAGACACAAAGAGAAGAAAGAACAAAGAAAAAAGAAAAAAAAAAGACTTACCCATATGTGCCCCAATCTCATCCTTGGACTTGTCATTTATAGCTTCCATCCACAGACCCGTCGTGCGCTTGTCCTTCTCAGGCAGGTTGCAGAAAGTCCGATCGGTGCCCACCACAGTTCCCACCATGCTCACCTCCTTCGCCGACGCAGCTTTACCGAGGCGCGTGTATAGATTCGCAAAACCGACACCCATTTGCCGATCCAGTTTCACCATCTTGGCCAATCTCTCCCGCAGCTCCGCGCCCCTCGCCAGGCATCCCACAAACTCGAGGTGCGAGCTGACCCATGACCAGCCCGAGCTCAGGTGCTCCCGGTTCATGTACGCCGCCGCGCCGCCCGCCGCCAAAGCGCCCGCCGCCCCGGCTACCATGGCGATCTGGCCCCAGCCCCATCCGCCGGTGCTCTGCTGCTTCTTTTTCTCCGGCGGCGTCGGCGTTTCGGGCGCGGGTAAAGCGCCGGCAGGTTTCTTGTTGCTAGAGCCCCCGGTCCCGGTGTTGGTGTTCCCGGCCGCTTGGTTGTAGTTGTTCCAGAAGATGGTGGACAGCCCGCTGAGCTGGGCCAGTGCGCCGTTCACGCTATTATAGTGCCCCTCGGCGCCGTGGGCCACGACGCCGGGGGAGATTCCGAGGAACGGCGTGTCGAAGGCGAGGACGCCCTGGATGTAGGGGAACATGAGGCCCGTGGGGCCTAGGGACTCGTCTACCAGAACGGTGAGGCTGTCGCGGCGGCCGGCTTTGCTGGTAGCGGTGGTATGGGGAACGGGAACCTCGGAAGCGATGCCGATGGCGGTTTCGGCCGCGACGATTCCGCCCATGGAATGGCCGATGAGGATCGTACGGACGCACGGGTCGACGGTCGGAGAGGGCGTGCCGGCGGCGACTTCGAGGTCGATCACTCGGTTGAGGAGCCAGTCGCGGAAGCGGCTGACGCACTCGTGTAGATCGCCACGGGTCTCATAGCGAGGGTATGTAATGGCGCGTACCGAGACCTTGGGCAAGGCAGCACTTACGAGAGCAGCGAGATGGAGGGCGAACTCGGACTTTTCGCCGAACGTGTTATCATCCCCCTAGGATTATCGATATATTTGATTAGCATCTAGGCAAGTAACCTAACCTACAGATACTACCTAGGCTTAGGTAGGTTATTCAAGTGTAAAGATGTATCGAAGAGAAGAATGGCGAGGATATACGAAACTCACCTTGAAGCCGTGAATAAAACATAGCAGTAGTATCTTCTTCATCTTGAGTCCCCATCGAAATAAAAAGGGAAACAAGAAAAGGATTTCTACGGACCTACCTAACCTAACTAAAGAGATAAAGTCGAGTGGAAGTTTTAAGTTTAGGTAAACTCGACAAGGTTTACAGCTAACATAACGCACTATGTAGGTAGTTAATGCATGCATGGTAGCTGAGTTCCCAGTTCCTAGGCTTAGCTGTAGGATCGACGCCGAGGGTCCCTAACATTTTAGTGGATCTGCGCTATTATACGCTATCTTCCGGGAGGTTCTTCTTCTCCAGAATGACGTTTCTACGGCCCAGTCATTACAGCGTTTAGGTGCATATGTACATCTAGGTACCTACCTCTAATGAACCGGGCCTCTCAAAAAACTTCCAGTATTCGCTTTTTTAATCACATGCATATCACAGAATCCAAAGTTGGTGTACAATACAACAACACAATCCACAACCCTCAAAATTAAACATCGGTTCATCCAATTCGACGACTTTAGATAGGATCAAACTATGGATAGGACCCATTGTCAAATGAAGAGATGGCCCTAAGGTTAGGGTACGACCCAATATCCGATGGCCACGACATCCTGTCCTGACGATCACCAGATAGAGATTTTTATTTCATCCTAACTAACGCAAAGCACGCAACTCCACGAAATATAGCCTTTGAAACTTTCGATTTAGTTCTTCCAACTAATAAGTAGCCGTCAACCTCTGGATGAGATAGTCGCCGCTATTGACACCCTCATATTTCTTGTCCTGTTCGGTAGCATAAGTGTTAGGAATAGCTTCGATGTAGTCCTTGAAGTTGGGGTTGCAGAAGTATCTGTCAAGTTTTTTTTTGTTAGCCCTATATTTCTCGACGCATAACAAGACTCCACGTGTACGCACGCTATACTATATCTAGCAGGATAAACATCGTCTTCGCGGGATGGGGGCTCTACAACCCGGTGAATGGTGCTCTTGATGTTATCGTTACTCCACCTCGCGAGCAAATCCCCGGCGTTCACCACGCAGGTGTCCTCAATCGGCGCTGCATCAACAAACACACCCGTCGGACTCTGTACCTGCAAACCGCCCTGGGAATCCTGGAACAGCAAGGTGATGGAGCCGTAGTCGCTATGCGCGCCGGTCCGAACTTGGCCTGGGTTGATCTTGAACACCTCCCTCTTGACTTCGGGGTAGTGAAGGAGTCTCAATGTGTTATCTCCGACATCAGTATACTTGTCGAACCATGACTCTTCGATACCCAGACCGACGGCGATGGCGCGCATAACCTCTACATGCAGTTCCTTACACTTGTCGTGGAATCCGAGCATTGTCTCCTTGAAACCCACCAGCTCGCCCTCTTCATTAGGCCAGTGGTTTGGGCAACCAGGTTCGTTTTCGCGGCCGATTTCGAGGCTCTCCTTCAGATCAGGTGCAGAATCCCTCAGCTTTTTAATAGCATCGATGTCCGTCAGAACTGTGTTCTTTTCTCTGCCCGGCGCCGAGTAGCCCCGGTTGGCCTCGGGCGTAGTCCAGCAGTGAGACATTTTGGTCTCGAGAGGAAGCCTGAAGTACTTGGCCGACGTCTCGAACACATGCTTCCGATACTCGGATATAACGGGCAGACCCTTTAGGTATACGAACCCGGACGTTTGGAAACCGCGGAGGATGGCATCGGCAGTCTGCTTCCTCTGTTCCGGATTGCCGTTCAGGAATTGGGAGAAGTCAATAAGCTATGGTTTTACGGTGCTCAGTCCTCGTCTCGAATTTCATCACAAATGCATGTCTTGAGACCTACCGGGATATATAAGCCATCGCTCTTCACAGCTGCTTCCTCCATTGCTTCTTTCGGTTGAGACAAATATGCGAAAAGCTACCTAGTTGTCTTGTTGACTGGTTGACTGGTTGTATACAATAGCTAGAGCAGGTCGATCAAGATAGACTTGTCGCGGAAAAAGTAAGAGAGGACACTAGGGAATTCAAGACGCTCTCTTACAACAACCTTATACACGGGAAAAGGATCGGTAATACAAGATTGCACGTTTATCTAAATACGGTACCTACCTAGGTACCTAGGTTTCGGCCACATCCGACGAGAAGCGAAACTCTCTTACTCCTGTTCTCCAAAGGGACCATTTATCTTCCTAGAGGGTAACACTTGACTCCTTATCGAAGAACGACTGCAAGGTGAGGGCACGGATTCCAGACAATAGGAAGATAAAAACCGTTCGACATCTATTCGAATCCAGTATATTCATGGCTACGTGACTAATATCATTCGAAGATATCAGGTAAGAACATCCTCTTTCTACCTAGTCGTAACTATATCTACAAACCCTGCCATTTAGATAAGGGAATCGTCCTCCTTGACCATGCATGAGATAAGAGCTCCGAGAGGGGTTGTGATGTATTTCAGATAGCTGGGGTGGACGCCTCCAAGTACCTACCCGATATCACCTACCAAATGCGGGGGGTATCATTGAATGTCATCAATGATGAGCCTTACATTAACCAGGAATTCTAGGGTTATGTAAATCCGATCCAATGTCTATCATCTCCCCAATTCTTCACGCCTCATTTCGGGTTGGCTTCGAAATTTCGTCAAAGTTATTCGTTCCACAAAGCCTATAGTCAGTTGCTTGAATAGACCACCTTACCTACCTCATAACCTTACCTAGATCCTAGACGAACATCTTGGTAGTAGTCCAATAAGCTCAAGTAGTTATACAGGGGGGTCTGGCGTGAAGGCGCCTCCGGATCTCTCCCAACTCATCCATCACTCAGCTATAGGGGATCTGCTACATGCCGTATTTTCACATAATAACCTTGTCGGGCTGTTATCAACTTTATACGATGACCTCTTCAACGCATCGTGTGGTAGATATCCACACCCATATGTATCCTCCTGCATACGTGCAACTTCTAGAAACACGAAGCAGCATACCCCTGATACGGAAGTTCGCCGGTGCGAAAGAACCCCGCCTCATTATATTACCGGCGGAAGCGGAATCCCTAGACAAGATTACATCGGAGGATCCGGATAAAACGTCATCTCACCTTCCCGGCCGCCCGGTCACAACCCATTATTCTTCTCTTAGTCAAAAGATCCATTTTATGGACACGCATAAAATTGACATATCGGTCATCTCGCTCGCAAATCCATGGCTCGACTTCGTTGCCTCCGAGGAGGCCGGAGAGGCGGCCAAGTCTGTTAACCAAGAATTCTCCGATATGTGCGCCGCAGTCCCCGGCCGGTTATTCTTCTTCGCGACTCTACCGCTAACCGCGCCGCCCGAGACGCTATTAGCAGCTATCGGACATATCCGCAGCCTCAAATACTGCCGAGGAGTTATCCTCGGAACGTCGGGGCTCGGGAAAGGCCTTGACGATCCGGCCTTAGTGCCGGTCTTCCACGCGCTCGCGGCTAACAAGTTAACCATATTCCTGCACCCTCACTACGGCCTGCCAAGCGAAGTATGGGGTCCTCGCGCCACCGAGGAATACGGCCACGTGCTGCCGCTGGCCCTGGGGTTCCCCATGGAAACCACGATCGCGGTGGCGCGGATGTACCTCGCGGGCGTGTTCGACCAGGTGCCGGAGCTGCGCATGATCCTCGCGCACAGCGGCGGGACGCTTCCCTTCCTAGCGGGCCGCATCGAGAGCTGCATCGTGCACGACGGCCACCTGATGCGGGAGGGCAAGGCGGGACCGGGCCGGCGGACGATCTGGCAGATCCTCCGCGAGCAGATCTACCTGGACGCAGTCGTGTACTCGGAGGTCGGGCTGAAGGCGGCGGTGGACGCCAGCGGCGCGGACAGGCTGATGTTCGGCACCGACCACCCGTTCTTCCCGCCGCTGGGCAGCGACGAGCAGGGCGAGTGGGAGAGCGTCACTTGGAACGCCGAGGCCGTGAGGAAGGCCCTCGGGGACGCGACGGATCGCGGGAGGGCGGTTATGGGCGGGAACGCCGTCGAGGTGCTGAGGTTGCTTGAGGATAGTTGAAGGCATTCCTGCTCTAACCGTGTAAGTTGATCGGCCAAGTATATCCCCGATTATCAGGAGTAGATAAAGATAGATAGATATAAGGCTGTTCGTTAGAGCACCTAGGCCACGCATACGTAATGCGGCAGACAGTGGTTACGAATTACAATATATCCATGTTGTAACAAGTCTACATGGGGCTTCTTCGCGTACATATCACCCAATGACGACGTATAAATGTGCGTCTCTAATGCCAAGTGGACCAGCTGTAGGGAGATAGTTATCCTTACCTCCTAAGATACTTGCAAACCGATCGATGGAAATTCGCCGAGATGCAGGGAACTCAACAGGTGTTGGTTAGATTCATGTGCTGTGCCACCAACACATCGGCTTAATGCCTGTGTTCAATGCAAAAGGTGCGTCTAACATGCATGACGAACCCGGCCCCGGATGACGTATTAGGCGCGTATTCAACGCGAGGACGGTTCCTAGCTCTGGATTATAGATTGGTCTCCATTTCGCTTACGGCGAGGTGCACAGCTTTCAGCTAAACCACTTTGTTGCTTCCATTACTCAGTTACTAGGTCAAAAATTAGTTACAGGCCAAGATTCCTGGAAGCTGCCTACTATATTATTAATTAGAAAGGGTTCCAGATACTCTAGCTTGTATGTAATAACTGAGCAAATACCCATACAATGAGAGAAGGATTACTGTCAAGTCACAGAGAAGTAGAGAGAGGTAGAACTAGGAGGAAATAAGAAAGTGAAATTTACCTGCTAGTCTAGAGGTAAAATGTCTAAAGTACAGAAGTCTAAGAAGTGAAAAACGTCTATGTAATGAGCGGCATTCAAGTCCATCTAATCCCGTCTTTTCCTTGCCTCGCCCGGAAGCACTAATAGTTACAGGTAGGTATCCGGTGTCTGCATGGCCCTCGAAAAAAAAGAAACCTAAGCGTGAGAAGGGTGCGCGTCCAAGGCGGACTGGATCTGGTTGATCTCGTCGTTGGAGAGGTTCTGGAAGAGGATCTTGTCGGTGCCCATGGGCACCGGGTTGCCCGCGTTGTACTGGCCGGTCACGACACCCGAGAGCGTCATGCAAGCCGAGGGGATACCCTCAACCAAGACGTCTGGAGTGAAAGTGTTAGCAGAGCGTATTCAAATCGATACCTACCTAGGTACCTGGGTAGATAGCGAAGATGAAGATATGAAACAAATCTATCTGTATGGGGGGATACTTACTTCCGGGCTCCTGAGCGGAGAAGGTGATCGAAGCACCGGTGAGCTGGGCGTGGCAGTCGTTCCAGGCCTGCTGGTTGGGGTCCTGGCGGCGCTCGATGCGGCTAGGAACGCGGGGCTTGACGAACTGCTGCTCCTCGTCGACGCTGCGGTCCTTGACGGCGGAGACGACAGTTCCTGCAACTGCGGCGGCGGCACCGACAGCGGCAGAGATGGACTCGATTCCGGCAGCGGCCGCTGCGGGGATGGCGAGGAAGGCAGCAGAGCCGACCTGGGCAGAAGCAAGAGCCGCGACGGCGGAGACAGCGATCTTTCCGAAGGAGTGCATTTTGTCTGATGAAAAGAGAAAAATTTGAGACCAGTGAGTCTAGAAAAGTGATTATTGAAAGAGAGTAGATGGATTTGAGTGGTAGATGAGTGAGTGTTTTAAGGATTGGATAGAACTCCTGAGTTCTTGTAGAATGTATTGTAGAATTGTTGATGGTGGTGATGATGGTGAGAGAATAGATGCCTTCTCGAGGGCGGAAGACGGTCCCTTTATACAATTTGGAAGCCTCTCCGAAGTCATACTGAGGCTATCAAGTTCCATACCGCGCCGCAGTTAATGGCTATCACTTTCTAAGTTCAATGGGCGTGGTCGTTGCGTAGGAAGGCCCCTACTAAGCAAATATGGCTATGATTATCTCCGAGCGAGAGCACGGTGAATGCAGGAACCGTTTCTGAAACCATCTTAGTTGAACAGCAGCATACACTCAGATTTCCAACATCATGCTATACTAATCCTTACGCCGCAAGATGCCGTATAAAGTAACTAAACTTGTGATCGACAGTTCAAGGATTAGCATTCCACGTGAAGAATGGTGTAAGATATCTACTTCCAATGACTATACTCCTAGCTCTTACTACTACTCTTTGATACCTAGTATACCAGGGCGATATATCAGCCCCTGAGCGTAGATCACGATCATGGTTCGACGTCATGCTATTTCAAACAATTCCTCTCTCATCTAAATTAGGATGGTGGTTATGTCTTCAGCCGATTACTCTTGCGTATTAAAACAGAACAGAGGATGGTACAAGACAAAATTATAAATTGTCAGAAACGTGTGCATGACAGGTACGTAATGTAGCATGGAGCTAAAGTAGTTCCGAATGGTACCTGCTTTAGTTATTCTGAAGCATATCTCTATGTAGTGCTAGGCGCACCGGTAAGTAGCACTAATTACACTAGCAAAAGAATATGCTATATCAAAGAGCGAAGTGCTCTTGTCATTCTATCACATTACTACTATTTTTAGTATTTATTTTATATATGATAACTATTATAGGATCTCTCCAACATACCTAAACTCGAGCCCCTATAAAGCTAGATGTTTCTTATCATAACAATATTACATCATAACTGTGCTCAAAATAAAGTAAATTTACGCTCATATGAATTTATTATAATCTCGGTCCTCTCCGTCTTCTAATAGCAAAGGGTTACTAAGTAAAGTTCTTATTTCTATTATAGTAAGTTTAGGTACTAAGGCCTAGTATGGTAATTCGGTGCGATCGAGGTAGTTTACCTACCGTGCCGTAGCATTATGTGAGACTCTTGCTGAGAATTTCCCGCCTTTTACTGATAGACATAGTGAGATAGCTTCTCTATGAGCAATATTACTGAAGATGCATTATGTAGGTAGGCAATGAAGAGCTGACGTTGAACCAAAACTACCGATACGGCACGGAGCTTGGCGAAGGATGACGGAATTTAAGCCGTGACCCCCGATGGAAGCCCGGTATTCTAAATTCAAAGGAAACACGTAATGATGGAATTAACAAGGCGAGAAAATACTAGGTACGGCTAAACTAAAAAGGGGAGGTAGATATTATAGAATTCTAAGTTACCTGTTATCCCCTAGCTAGATAGAGGTAGTTAAGCCTTAACAATAGCTTCATGGAATACGCAACGTCGCGAAGCTAACATACCTGTTTCAAGGAATAGATGTTGAAAATTAAATCGATATAAAAAGAACATAAATGGGGTAAACATCCGGGGTATATGCTTCCAACATGTCGAGCAAGCCACGAGGGAACCCTTGCAGGGGTTGGCTTGGGCTGGCTTGGTATGACGATCATGCGGCTGATCAATATTAGTTGCGTAATATAATAACTTCCAACATTCTACTGTGAATAGTACAAAACATAGTACAAATTTAGCATGTTGGGGTCCGGGCCGCATGAAACGGTGTTGGAATGGCCTTGATCGACGTTGATTGGTGTTGGTTATGCGTGTCATGCGATAACTAGGTAGATACCAGGTAGGTATCTTCAACTTGCCGTTTTTGACTATAAATTTATCTTCCACCAACAACGAAGTCAAACTTAGTCGTCAACCAAGTCAATCAACAACCCGACCTACACTTTCGATACCCACTCCTTTCCCTAAGTTGTTACCACATATGTCCTCTTTCTTTTTTCTTTTCTTTTTCTTTTTCTTTTCACTCGCTCGCTCCTTTTACATTATCCCTGACCCTGACTCTTGGAATTCCTAAGCGATGGATACCCCACTACAGACTCCCAACCCTCCCGTGAACATGCTCAACGACTATGTATCGCAGGAGCAGGTGATGTTGACCATGTATTGCCATGATAGTTCTTTCAAGAGTGTTACAGTTTTAGACGGTGAAGGAAATCCCATCTTCCGCGTCGAAGGTACAACGTTTGGCACTTCCTGGAGCTGGCGACGCAGGGTATGGGATAGCAAGAAGGATTGCAGAATCTATGACTTCCGTCACAACAGCCTCGATATCAAGAACGGCTGGGTGGTAGAGACTCCTGACGGTCGTAAGCTATGCTCGCTTCAGCACCAGAACCAGGTTACCAGGAATCATTCCGCTGTCGATGCTACCGTGCGCACCGAGGCTGGCGAGGACGTCTTGGTTCTTATGCGACCTAACGGCACGGCCGCGATTACGACAACCATCGCCGTTGGAGATTCGACTATCGCATCCATCCATAAAGTTGAAGACAATCTGCCGGGTTCTCGAGGGGGTCGAGAGAGGAGTGTCTGGGCAATCCGAATTGCTCCAGGGGTTGATATGAGCATGGTAAGCTTCGATAAATATCCACCTTTTTAATTTCTATAGGATTAGTATGTGGATCATGTGGAGAACCCCCGGCTAATCGTGAGTCCCAGATCATGGTTATGGCGTTGTGTCGTGCAGAAATGGGACACGTCTGGAAACAATGAAGAGGTCGGCGACCCACGTGGAAGGATCCTCCAAGGACTTCTCCAGGAACTTCTTCAAGAACTTTTCCAAAATTTCTCCAAATGTCGGATTAAAAGTACCTTGCTTCTGATTTCTATACCTTTATCCTTGTAGTTTACACCAACATGCTTCATTGCTTCAGAATTGCTTCCCATTGCTTCCCAATGCTTCCTACCGCTACAAAATAAATCATAAAAATAAAAATCTGAAATTCTAAAAAATGAAAAATGACATATCGTATCATGATGCGACGTGGATATTTCAGAAAGCTCCGTTGTGACTGACGTATGTTACCTCGACGCCTCTCCACTTATAAGCCGCAGGTTGTTTACAGGTACCTACCTACCTCCTACCTAAATCAGAACTGGATCGGCAGTTAAACAAAGCTTATACGTATAGGTACCCTAGGATACCCTAGTAACTCGGACCGATTCACTACTACCTTAGGTATGTACATACCATACCTAAGTAGACTAATTAGAACTTAGACCCCTGTATTTGTCATTCTCAGCTAGTTCTTACGCCGCTTCCATATACTCCATATACCTGCATCTCCTCGACTAAGATCAGCATAGATTCGCTGTCCATTGTGAGATTTGGTAAACTACCCCCTAATGTCGCTCACTCTTCATATTTAGAAGCACATTTAGAGCCTCGCAAAATATCTACCTACCTGGTACCTAGCTCTTAGGTAAGTAATTAGAGAGGTACGTACGAAGTACTTTCTGATTAAACAAGTCCGATATTGTGATATTAGAGTATAATTGCTTCATATTTTACCACCAGTTTCCTTACTTTTACCTAGGTACCTTATGAGGTAACTTATACCTGACTCAAGTCCATCATCCTATAGCAGCAAACACCATGGCTTATAAAAAGTTATTGGTTTACTGCGCCATCGCTCCAGGTTGTCAAATTCTCTCCTTTTTGTGTTTCCACTGGTCTCTACACACATCTCATCGCATATACCGCTTGTTAATCTTTCTTTTTTTCCTCTTGTTCTCTGCACTCTCATTTATCTATTCCAAGTATTTCCCCGTCCTTAACTTCACTAGTCTCTGGGCTCAGTCTCTACTGTTAAACGTTGTCCACGCTACCTCTCTTATTGTCCTCGAAGACTTCCCAGCATCACCACGGGACCCGAAGGACTCCTCATGGCTTTCTGCGCTTTACGCGACCTTCCGTGTATGGGGCAACCCGCGAATGCTTCCCAGAGCAAAGAAACCCAACTCCGGAGGGGATGAGAAAGAAGAGCCTGTAGCCGTCTTCCTCATCCACCGCTTTGCGAAGATCCCCTTATACTATTTCCTAAACTGGCATGTCCTGCCAAAGCTCTTCTCCGAGACCGTCGTTGAGCTTGTGGCCTACGATGTCGCTTTCCCTGCGCTTCTGACGCGACTCTCCGATGTGACGGCTCGGGAGGTCGTAGTGCGCTCATTTACGGCGCTTTCTTGGATCTGGGAGAGCCTTGTGTTCCTGGACGGTACTAACGCTATCTTGGCGGTGCTTTTCGTTCTCACCGGCGTAGACCAGCCGAGCGATTGGCCTCCTATCTTCGGTTACCCTAGTGGCATGTGTGGGCTGCGTAAGTTCTGGTCGCAGTTCTGGCACAAGCTAGCAGTGCGGCCCTACTCGAACTACGGCCGGGCTTTTGCTCGAATGTTGTCATTAATGATACCTGGGCTCCCTCCTACCGTAACCGGGGCCATTGTGGCCTTTGTCATCTTCTTGATTTCTGGACTCTCCCACGCGGCGGTAAGCTGGCGCCTCGGGACATCTGGATGGCTAGATTTACAGTGGTTCCTACTGAACTTCGCCGGTTGTTTGGTCGAAACTCTTGTACTCTCGATGGTTCGACGCCTAGCGAAGAAGGCAGGTCGGACGCGGGAGCTGGCTTGGCTAGAAAGAAGTTGGCTCGGATGGTTCATCGGGTACGCATGGGTGTTTGCGTTTTTCTTCTGGACTGTGCCGCTCTGGAAGTTCCCGACGCTGTATCGGGAGCTGGTAAAGTTAGAACGATGGGCGTCCATCTTATCGAAAATGACCATTGTTGAAGGGTAGATGTAGTCAGAACTCAAGTTTATTAGGTATTTGTATTAAAAAGGGTTTTCTGAACATATTCATCGAAGCTGCTACTATTTTGGAGGGAAAAAAGATTTATAGGACGAAGTACACTTTCACTAACTATACATTTACCTAAGTAGATTGCACTTCATTACCGAACAGCCGAGCTGTTCATATCTCGTAGTTGGACGTCGCGATACCAGTGTCAGCATTCCCTCGAGGCAATCCTTGGATCTCTTCAAGTATTAACATCATCACAACCCCTCTGGGGATCGAACTAGTTATTGTCTTGTCTATATGCAATCCTAAAGTCTATTCCTTAGGCCATAATCCGAAGTCGTCCAGTGCCTCGAAGCAGCCATGTGTTAGAAGCAATCCTCCGTGAATGTGGCCACCATAGACAGCGCGGCAAAGTGCCGTGCGTTAATCGGCGTTTTTACGCACCGGATTCGATCCATTAAAAATAGTAAATCCCGTTGAAATAAACCTGATTATGTATGGTAAGCTTCAATATGCAGTGGTGTAAACTTATCTCAGCTGATTCTGAGTTGTTAACACTTTGCCCGAACTTGTTCGGGATATTGTATCGACCTAGCGCGTCCGGATTAGAGAGGTTGCCGATGCGTAACATTCTAAGTGCTTTTTTTATATATATTTAAGTGCATTGCTAAGGAAGAAATCTTTTATTGGATATATTCTTAATGTTGTAGGTTTAGAAATTAGGAGATCTTGTCCACTTCTACAGCTTTTTTGAAAATACGTACCGCGCTTACGGAGAGCTACCTATCGTGGCTTGAGGAGCCGGTCTTTTTGGTATGTATTGTGGCTAAAGGGCCTTCAATGTTCGGGTTTTATGTATGTTACCCGAAAAGTGGCTTTATACCTATACCCGTTATTTACGTAACCTATGTTATAATATTTTAATAAAAATATTAAGATTTACCAGTTCCACTTATTTCGCTACTTATTATATAAGACTCGACAAACCCCGGCTACCCGCAGTTTAAGCCTGAGCCATTTTTTTTAGTTTACTTAATTTTAGTTTACTTAATAGTACCATCACGACGATCAAAAAGCCTACACGATGCAACTCACATGCATATGCGATGATGGAGAGGTTATTGATATTACAACCGCGATTCAGACGCAACCCTTTAATGTTCGCTCTTTATTATTAGATTCATTATTTGCATGCTTTCCTAGTCTTCCAGACACGCCAGATTTCTTTCAAGCAGAACATGGCATCCGTGAAGCACTTCTACAATTTCAGGGTGATAAGGAAAGATATGTAAGGTCCTACATTATAAACCGCTCTCTTGACCCGCGTACGGAAGAGACTCCAAGGGCAAGCTTAATTCATTCATCTTTTGAATGTGGTGGCCCAGTAGCTCTGGTTGGCGTATTTTACGCCACGATCGATGCGCATCGTAATATTCGCAGCCGCAGAACCCTTGACTACCTTTTGAAGGCCTCTGAAGAAACGAGAAATGCATTGTTTTATCGAGCCAACACAGTTCCCTGTAACCCGTCACTGATTCCCTGGCTCCGCCGCATTTTCGATCGGGTAGACTCGGATGCCAAGGGTCTTGCTTACATCTTAAGTTGGCTAGGTACACCCATACCAATTGACTTGCTCAGCCGGGCAAGACTGCCTTCGCTTAGTTGGAACAACGACGGTGAGGTGGCCGGAACCCCTGCTCGTCTTATATCCATGATCCAAAACGAGGAGAAGCTTGAGACATCTATACGGAACCTGGAATATGTTGGGCTTGTTAAATCAAGCCAAACAGCCATAGAGCTCCATCCACGAATCGGAGAACTTTTACCGGGGCGTCCTGAAGGTAGGATGTGGCTCCCAAAAGCAGCTAAGATTGTCTTTCATATGCTACCGAAGTACGCATCTATTAGACCTGAAAGGTACGCCTCGTCTAATTTCACCCTACCCCCCGTGATACTAATTAGATGCAGCTACTCGAAGCAGTGCAAAGAGCTATTGCCTCATATGACACGTATATTGAACCACCTAAATGGCAAGCCAGCGGTTCTCGAACAAATAGACCCAGTACAAATGGTGGAGGCATGCTTGTCAATATCATACTTTGGTGATAGGTCCTGGAAAATGCAGGCTGTTGCCATGGCCGCCCAGGCCGTAACCACCTGTAGAGACAACCTCATAGAGAAGCCATTGCTTCTAGCTCAGGTTAATGTTAGGAGGTTCTTTCTGTCGCTATTATATTCGGAGGAAGAAAACCAGAGTGACCAGCTTACCTTCCCTGTTGTTGATCGGAGGTCCAATGCATTTGCTGCAAATCTGGCAATAGCCAAAGCTCGAAGGTCTACTCAGTTAAACGAGTTGACGGCCGCTCGTAACTGTCTAGAAAGCTTCAGTATATTGCAGAGCGGGTCCCCTTCCTCCCTAGAAAAGATGCAGGAGTATAAAGTAGCTCTGATGCATGCGAGAATCTTACGGTTCGAAGGTCATTTTCAGGAAGCTTACCGTATCTTACAGGATCTACCACAAAAAGGGGAGGTACTTACATCGTACTGCGCAGTCCTTTGCGAGCTTGATCGATGTGACGAAGCAATCCGCGTCCTTGAATCATGCATGACTCCTACTATACGACCTAAGCTCATCCTTGCCCATGCACATCTTCTGAAATGCATGCATGCTTTGCTTAGAGAGGAGTCCGTAGATCAGATCTCGTTAGAAATATCGGATGATATTTACAATCAACTTGGTCGCTACCAACCCAGTAATTACTTTGAGAAGATGGACCACCTTTCCATTTTGATGGGACGAGCAATCGTTCAACACATGAGTGGCCAAATTGAAGCCGCCCTAGACGCATGGCAAAAAGCTCTTACTACTTCCACAGCATGGCTTCCTACTGGATATACTGACTTGATTATAGCTTATTCCATGAGTGAACTCGAGACCAGAAGAGGAAATTATGTACTTGCGGATATTCTAGCCGGTCATACAAAGGTGCTGCTCACTCAAACTGGCCTCCAACATCATTTCATTGGGCTTGGGTCTCTCTGGCCTGTCATCGTAGGGAGGTGGCGTGTTGCCCACGGACATGACCCCATTGTTCCCCTACAAGAAGCATGCAATTAGTCTGTCTAGGTCCATAAACAAATAGACCATGTATTACTTGGGCCTTGGCCGGGGCTTACCTATACTACGGGGTAAAGGATATTATTGATATATGCCGACGCCGCTCTCGTAGGTTTACATACTTTTTTTTTTTTTTGAAGTGATAGATACCTTGCCAGGCCTTACATGTAGATTACTCCACTTGTCAGTTATAGGTAACCGGCTGCCCGAATTATTCGTAAAATGACAGGGCCACGTACAGGCCCACAACCGTATTTGAAGCTTTTCAAATCTCACGACCTCCAGTAAATGCAAACAATACAGAATAAACAACAACAATTACTACTACCAGTAACCGTACGCTTTCATCATTAAACATAAGGCCACCCTCCGGGTAGCACAAGAGCCCGAATTTCAACTTCAACTTGTCCTAGCTTTACGCCCGGCTCAAATATATATATGCACCTCTTTAGATTCTATTAACCCATATAGTTCCCAATAGCGATGAATCCGATCTAAATAATAATGTCATTATACCTAGCTCTCATATTTGAGGCGATAAAATTATTCAACAACTGCAGGCCATCCAGAGCCAAAGTCGAGCTTATTCCAACCAAATCGGAACTCGTTCGCGGGGGTTTTGCTTTTAGCGTCATATGGCACTAGAAAGCGGCGTCTGATTAGCTCACGGCACTTGATATCATGGAAAGGTATAATGCTGGGGAGTAGGCACTTACCATAATGATAATATATGATAGGCCCCCCGGCCTCATCATCGATAAGGACCCCCTGACCGCCGGGAGCCCAAATGTTATCGTGGGTTCCTAGTATCTCCTTGCCGCCGTTGTTGTTGGCGCAGTCGGCCCCCTTATCATCAACAAATCCGCCACCTGGTCGCTTAAAGCGGCACACCATCACTTTATAAACATCACCCCTATCGACCCAATGGCCATCCGGCTGCTTGCAGCATCGACCGGACGAGAAGAACAGGTAGTACCAATCCTGCCACTTGAAGATATAAGCAGCCTCCGTCGGACCGGTCGGAAAAGCCGAGGTCTTGTTATTGGCGAGATGGCTGATGTTCTCGTTGGCACCGTCTGCGATCTTGATCGGCGGATCCGCTAGCGGAAGTTGGAAGATACCCTGCTGGTACGATCCAAACGAGAGGAGATTTCGACGCTTTCCTCCCTCGTCGACGGTGAGTAGAGCCGCGTCAAGAATGTTGTACCTCTTGGCCCAGTCGATCTCCAGGCGGCCGTGCCACTCCCAGTCGCCGGTCTCAAGCGTCTTGGACGAAGCGACGAGGAGGCTAGAGTTGTGCGCCCAGGTGTGTATAGCAGGGTCTGTGACGCCAACCGTAGAGTAGTCGAATTCGTGGTTGTTAATGTAGACGTAGTACGTATCCCCTACGCGATGTATCGAAGGGGCACCGCCGTACTCGCGGAACTTCGCAGTGCCTTCATGCGTCCAAGGCCCGTATAGAGATTCCGCCGTCCAGACGCTGCCGTTCTTTCCCGTGGTGTATAGAAATAATTTATTATCTGATTGGCGCCGAATTAAGGCGGGGTCTAGTGTCTGCGCGATAGGGTTGTTGGGGATAGTCCCTTTCATAGGTTCGGGAGCTGGCCAACCATTTTGAGCTGAAGCATGCTCGAACAGAAGTCCTACAATGAGGCCTGTCGTGAGAGTAACAAGTCTCTTGGCGATCAGCATCATAACAACCCAACACAATGATAGTAGTTACGTTCCGGTCTATTTGTATGGGTAGAATAGGTACCCAACCTAGATTATCAGCATGCTCAAGAATCGAAGAGGCATGCCCTTTAATATGCCACTATAGTATACATACATGTACCTCTTACGTAGTAAAACCCTCGCTGCAAACCAATCATGGAAAGTCTTCAATGCGTTTGTACTTGATCGCCATGGAATGCAGCTAGGGCTGACGCACTGCCACCTTCATAGATTATCCCCAAGGGTGACAGTGGGCAGCAATAGTTCCGTTTTAGCTTGGTAAGTTCCCATATTTATAAGTTAGTAGATATACTCAAATCGCTGGCATGGTGTATGTTCAGGTAGCCGGTAGTCTAGCTCTTAGAGTACCTAAGTCTATGAAGATTGTCCAGTAGGACTCATTTACGTCGACGTATGGACCACGATCCTCCAAGTTTGGATACCTAGTTGTGGGGTAAATACGCAGGCATGGTACAGCACAGATGAAGATCCCTGAATGCCGTCGATTTTAATCACAGTTCCACACATAGCCTTCGGGCAATAATTCGGTCGTCGGCATAGTCACTTGTTGATTGGATGGTTAATTATGTACTTACCTGACCTACACTCTTCCGTCCTTTAAGAACCTTAATCTAGACATCTATCGTACTCTGGCTATGTAGACTTAAACATCATCGTCTTCGCCCTAAATCCACTAAGCTGACGATCATATCCAGCCAGCAATGGAACTAACTATTCGAACAGGTAAGGAGGAAGGGTAGTCGATCGCTTGCCTTCCAACTGTAGGCCATGGGTCAACGGCTCTCAGCGCATTCCATGTTTTCATGATCATTTCCAAGTATTTCTTCAAGCCGCTATCTGGACCGACAGCGGTGTGTAGTGAGTTCAGGTAAAGAACTTCATCTCTTCTTGAGATGGGTTGATAGCTTTATATTAATATTTCGCTGCTCTAGCTTGAGGCTAGGTTATAATACTATGACAATAATTTTGAATATCTCTTATTGAAAGGCTGCTAGGTTAGCTTAGCTACTCCGCGCGCACTCGAGCTGATGCTAATGGAAATGGCTAGGTACCTAGGTACCTAATGGCACTTCATAAAATAATAATTTAGGTATGCAATAGCTTAATATCTGCTGTGCTTAGTATGTTTAATAATGCTATGCTCAAGAATTGTTTATGCAAGTCAGAATCTGGATAACTCGACGTTTTACAAGAGACAGTGATCCCATTCGGTGATTATGTAAAGCGATGATGCACAAATACCTGTTGCTGCATAGGTACCCGCCGTACCTAAGTACCCCCTAACCTTAGGCACCTAGCCAGGCTAAGATATAGTTTATTTAGTGGAGCTACTTATTCTTTATGGTTGCTATTGATTTTCAATCTTGAAAACAGTCAACTTTTATTTCTTCATCCACACGCCAAGTTAGGGAGCAACAGCAACAGAATAACCACCATGGATAAATCCGACCTCCTAATATACGCCAAGGAGTATGCGACCACGCAGGATCTTTACGAGCTCTTGGGCGTGACATCAGACACGCCCAAAGAAGACATTCACCGCGCTTGGTACGTCATAATCCTCTCCCATCTTTTAATTGCAAACACACGAGCTGCGCTACTAACACACCATTTTTCTAGGCGTAAGCGTAGTTTGAAATACCATCCCGACAAGGCGGGAGCCAACTTCGACCCGGCGAAATGGGAACTATTCGAGCGAGCGCGGGACGTGCTGTCCGACGCCCCAGCACGCGAGGTGTACGACTCCCAACGGTCCGCCGCCCTGGCACGCGAGGAACAGCGCCGCGCCATGGACGCCAAGCGACGCGCCATGGTAGAGGATCTCGAAGCGCGAGAACGCGGCGCCGTTAAGCGTCCCCGCGGCGAGGGCGACGGCCCCACGATGAGCGAAGCCGAGAGGAGACGGCTAGTCGAAGCTGGGAAGCGGCGCTTAGAAGAGAGGCAGAGATTGATGAGGGAAGCCGAAGAGAGAGAGAAAGAACGGGAAAGAGAACTCAAGGCACAAGAAAATAAAAGGGTCCAGGAAAAGGCACGCCCGTTAAATATAGAGGAACAAAGCGGTCGAAGAGCAACGCTAGACGCGACGAGTACGACCGGGTCCAAAATGGATATCGACCCGGAACCGCCAGCGAAAAATGCCGACGGCTACGACGACCGGATCGCAGACCTCGAGCGGCGGTTACAAGAGGCGCGGCAGCGAAAAGCCGCCAAGAAGGAAAAGAAGGCGGGGCGGAAGAACGGTGACGAGAAGCCCAGCAAGACATATGAGGCTACTACACCCGATATCTCGCAAGAACCACAGGCTGACGAAAAGAAGGACACTTCCTCCCCGGGGTCGGCGAAGACTTTTTCCTTCTCCACCTCCACAGTCGCCTCCACGTCTACCAACGGCACCGCTGTTGCTAGTACCAAGCCCCGCGCCAAAGGAGACTTCTCGTCGACGATGGCGAGGCTGCGCGCCGCGCAGGCCGAGAAGGAGGCGAGGAAAAAAGCGGAAGAAGCTGCCGCAGCTTCTGCTTCTGCTTCTGCCGCCGTAGACGGGGTTGGTACTTAGCTTAGTGACGGAGAACCCGTCTTTTCTGTCCGAATCGCTGCCATCGCTCTCGCTTTCCTCTTTGATACAAATTATGATACCCCCAGCTTTATATATATATACCTTACCTTAGGTATATACCTAAGGTATGCACCTACATAATAGAGTCCACATATATGAACCACGTATGCTAGAATAACAGCAATGTTGCTTAGGTTGCCCGTAATAAATAATAGGTATACTGCAAACATCGTAGGATACCCCCCAAGGTTTGAATGTGACTTACAACTCTGCGTGGCTGTTTACATATGATTAGAGTGGAGGCCGTGCCTCGGAGGTATATCTTCAAAGTAGATTTATAATACACATACGATATAATACGATATAATATACAGGTCCACTGCTATAAGCAGTGTCTCCTAGCAATATATGTAAACATGCCCTCCGTGAACATGACCACCTAGGTACGTTACCTAAGGCACCTACCACATAGGTAACCTCTCCCGCATCCAGTCCGGCACAAACGCCGTGAGCTTAACAGCCTGTCCTCCATTACCCTCCTCGTCCTCGCCCCACTTCACGACAAACTCGTCGCGGGCCGGGTCGTACGGTGCTCTGGCCGCCGTCTCCCCCGGCAGCTCGACGTCCGTCATGATCTGCAGCCTGCACAGCGCGAGGCCGACATTCCCCACGCCGCGGAGCCACGTGCCCGCGCTGCGGCCCTTGACGCGCTCTCGGCCTATACTCAGATTCGACGGAACATCTGCCGCCGACAGGTGTTGTTGTTGCTTCTTCTCATTCTCGCCCTCTCCCTGGCCCTCGCCCTCTTCCCCGGCAGCGATATAAGGTGCGTATTCGAGCTTCTCCGGATTGGAGGAGGAGCCGGGACCAGAGGCCGGGTACAGCAGACAGGGTAGTATGCGCTTGCGTATGACGCCGCGGTGCCGCGTCCGGATCGTCAGCTCCTGCCCCACGTAGCACCCCTTGCGGAAGTCGATGCCCCCCATGAGGTCCATGTTCGACTCGAGCGGCAGCGCGTGCTCGCGCGGGATCTCCGCCTGGCCCTCCGGCACGCCTAGTAGATAGCGCCGTACGCGGTAGGCGTCGTCGTCGCTTCGCGCCAGGTCTAGGTCTAGTCCGTCATCTGCTCCTCCTCCCCCGCGCCGGAGGACCCGATATCCCATCCCCGGGGCGCGCGTGTCCGGTAACACGATGCTGTCCTTTAGCCGGGATAGTGGCGATTGTTCGGGCAGAGAAGGCGAAGAAGAGGATCCATCCCACACTTGCCACGCGGCGACTTCCCCCTCGTCCAGCACCCGGAACTCGAGCTTGCTCCGCAGCTTGTACCGCTTGATATGGTGCGCCAGCGTATCTACCTGCCCAGCATCCACCTCGACGACGAAAGCGTTCCCCCCATCCGCGGCGCCCGCGCCCGCGCTGATGCCCAGCGTATCCCGGTAGACGAACACGTCGTGCAGCACGCGGCCCGTCGCGTTCAAGAAGGCGCTATAGAAGCCGGGTGCCCCGGCGGCCAGGCTAGTGCGGGAGGCAGTCGAGGAGGCGTGAAGCCGGTGCCTGACGGCGCCGATGGTGGGCTCGTCGATGACGGGCTGCGTGATCAGGCCCTGCAGGAACTTAGGCGCGTCCGGGCCGGCGAGGCTGATCAGGCGCCGGGAGGTGAGCAGCGCATAGCCGGACGAAGGGGGAGGAGGAGGAGCAGTAGCAGTAGCACTTGCGCGACGTGACGTCACGGAGAATTGGCGCTGGGATCGCCGGCACGACTGGCACACGAAAGGCAGAGGGAAGGGGCTGAGACCGCGCCGGGGGGCGCTGCGCGGTAGGATCGGCATCGCGCGTGTGAATGGTTCCCGTGTGCCTGACCTAGGCTGGGGGGATGGGGGAATAGGATTTTTCTTTTTGTGGATAAATATTAACCGCGCCGCAAAGTCGTACGTGCGTACGTAGTAGTACTACGTCTCTATACGCCAGGTATGTATGGTATTACCTGGGTACCTCCTATGTAAAGCGCAGTATTGTATTCTGTTGTTCCCGGATAACGCGAGAGTCCGAGGCCGAGGCGACGCTTTTTTCGCTTGCTCTGGGACGAGAGAAGCGAAGGATTATTGCAAGGTTTCGATAGCAAGAAAAAAAAAAAAGATTGTCGTAAGGCGCCAGCAAGGTTAGCCTTGTCGGCTTGGAGTTATTTCCAGCAAGGTACCCCCACAACCGTGCGTTCCCGGGGTCGAAGGTGGTCTCGGATGCAAAAGAGCTGTGTGATGTAATTTTTCTGATAGCTTAGGTCTTTCGAGTTGTTGCTGAGCCGGCCGAAGATTACATAATGCTATTTTCTGGCGTGTAATTCGGAGGTGGCTCGGTGTCGGTATCCGAGATCGGGCTTCGGGTTTGTCGGTTCCGAAATCCTGATATCGTTGACTTTTCTTGGGGATCAAGTTTTTTTCTTCTTCTTTTTTTCGCTGCCTAAGCTAGCTTCTACTGGACAAGAATAGGTACCTAAGGTACCTAACCTCACTAACAGCCCTACCTGAAAATTTATGGTAATACTAGTTTTTCGGAACGCTCCTACTCCGGTAGTGACATTTAGGCGGTTTATTAATCTGCCCTACGAATTAACGTAAACCCACTTTCACGAAGTCTACTTTAGGGGGTACTTAGTACCTAAAGCTACAAAAATTTTAATCGCTCTGTAGACCCATCATCCATGAGACCGGACAATGTACTGTACATTCTACGTGCGAATGTGCGAATATTTTGCTTCATTAGGATTCCGTATGCTCCGCGATCTGTACCTCGATATCCGTCTTTTTCCATCTGCCGCTCCGGCTAGTAGGCGAATCCCTAACGGCTCACTAATCACATCCAATAGGTAAGCGTGGCAATGAAACAGCGAACAATGAAACAATGAAACAAAACGCTTTAATAGAGGTGCCTTAGTCATATTAAATCGGAACCCACAGCCTTATGCTATGAGGTACGTACGGAATACATACGCGCATATCTCCCGTATCTCCAGGTCCTTGGACCCTTTTTGCATAACTTACTTGCACACCACTTTCGCCGACACAACATTTGTACAAGATAAGTAAGTCCGTGAAGAGATAATGATTAGTTGCCGCGGGGCAGCCGGGGCTATGGTTATCACGTCAGCGAACAAGCCCGTTATCTCTCATTTTCTTAAGTGGATATTGTCTACGATCGCTATCACAGATCGATGATTATCATTCAATAAACAACACTCGGCAATCGGTATCTCTGCAATACACGCACAAAGCACACATAAGTCATGTTCAATCCGATTCATGTCACAATCATACATATAGTACACGACATGCGGCATACATACCTCATAAGGTATCTAACATATATCCGAGATACCTAATATAGAGGTACCTAAAGGCTAATATACATGTTCACTCACCTTGTAAGAGGAAACACCATCGTAATCGAGGGAATAGTCCGCGAACAGAGTAACCAGGTTTTGGTTTAATTCCCTCCCATGTGCGATACCAACAACAGCTCGACAACTTTTTAAGGCTTTCTGCATATGACTTCTCTCCGTATGCACCCTGCCCAGGTCCCCCCCAGGCCCCCATACCACAGGGCATGACGATCTCCTTGCATGCAGCAAGCGTACATTTGAGAGCAAAGCCCGGATTTGTGTCACGGCCTGTAACGTGTCTATAGATCCATCCGCCCTACTTTATGGTACGCCCATCCAATCCGTATCCTATCTCCATACATCCCATACATTCGCGTGGTGTAAAGTGGTGTAGGTATACCTGGTATGCGTGTAAGTATCCTGATGGTGAGTTGGCAGTACCAAACTACTCAACAAACCTAACTTATACCCAATTAACCACCTATGATATCTGGAACTGTCCAAAGTCGCAAGTTCTATGGACAAACCACATAGTTTAGTCATCCTATGAGATGTCAAAACTGTCAAAACTGTCTACTATGTAATGTCGAGCACATGCAGTCAGCTAGCCTAGCAGCTTTTAGTTCCTCTTCAACACGGCCAGTGAAAGATGCAGTATATAGCTCTGCACTATGTATTGTACATACATACATACCTACATACACTAGCTCTCTCCATAAATCTCTTCGGCTTTGGCCTAAGCCTTGACAACAGGTAAACTAGGCAACTACCTAAGTTAGTCCGAGTGACATGCAGCCCCCGAATGATTCACACGGCCGTTTTGAACCGGAGGAAGGAAAAAAAAATGTTTCGATGAATCAGCGTTGCTTTCAACCCCGCCGACCGTCCCCTCCTTACCACCGTCGTGTCCCGCCAATTCGCAAATCCTCACCGCTCCTCTACAAGTAGGCTAGCGGCCAAGGCCAGGTCGTTTGTGTGGCTGCTCCGCAATGGGCCCCCTTTGCGTTCTGGCGGTCGACGAGTGGGTAGATACCTACGTTTGGTAGGTAGGTATGTATGCATGTTATTAACTACTATGTATGTTAGGCTACCTAGGGGCTAATTCATCGTAGTAGAACGTCCATGAGTCGTCCGTCCATCTCTAACCTAACCCGTGCAATGCGTGTAAGTTGTCGTTCTAAGCCTACTATGCTATAGCCTAGTTCTATAGCCTGGTTATACTACGCATAGGGCGTACATATGTGCGTATTGCTCACCAGGCGAGGCGAGGCAAAGCAAGGCAAGGCAAGGAAGGTATCACGTAGGCATCCCTCTTCACTCACGTATCTGCGGTGCCTGGTCCGACCCGAAACCTAACCAACCCTAATTCGCAAAGTTCTCAATAGCGCGCGATTTGGCAATATCTTCACCGAAGGCTCTAGACAATGTTCCATCCAGTCAATATAGCAAGGGGAGGGATCTATGGGTCACGGGAAGATCTCGCTCAAGGGTCTTAATTGTCTTGCCCTGTCTCGTCTCGGGGAACCGTTGTTTAATTACATAGGTAGGTTAAGTACCTACATAGTAACCTAGTTGTCCCCCTTCCACTTGCATACCGACTTATGTAGTAAGGTAGATCATGAGATGCGCATCTAGATTCCTTGTAAGTGACCTACCTACCTACTGAGGTACCTAAGGTAATTGAGACTAGGTAGCATACGTAACTGGTATCGTATTCAGATATCGTATTCAGATTCAAGTTGTTACTTTTCGACATAAGATCGCGAGATGCGCGATGGTGTCTCAATTGGATAATTCACGAGCTTGCTCTGTCATATAGTCAGAATTATAGCATAATGTCATATCGGCGATTACTACTGTCTGCCGATAGTGGCTCCATTGATCATTATGGCAATAACTCTTAATCATATCGATTATATACAATGTGTAGGTAATACCAACAACTGGTGCGACGTCGAGAAATCCAAATGAAAATCATATGTTCGCGTGTTGGTTAAGACGGCGAACGGCTGCGGGCAATGGTAGATATCGTGATTTGAGTTCTGCAAAGTCGGGGTTTGAAAAGCAAAAAAAGCAAACAATAAGAGCAACCATCTTCGCGATCTTACCTGCCTAGCGGGTCAATATATTGTACATACTAGTAGAGTAAGTTCTTAGCGGAAAGAAGCAGTGACTTTCTTCTACGGGCAGCATAGAACATGCACGGTCATCATCATCTTCAAAGGGGAGCCAGTAGAAACCTTCGATGGAACCCAACCCGCGGCGACAGTAACGACAATCAACCGCTCTGACTGGCCATCTTCTCAAACCGCTGCCCCATTTATCGAGGGAGCGGTGACAGGCGTTGAAGCTGACCGCAGATTTGGGTTACCTAGTATGCGGGAGAGCAGGGGGTGGGTGTTAAGGTGTGGCCGTGCTTAAAGAAGAACGTTCGTCTTCTTCGAAGGCAATCAAACTCTGTATTATCTCAGCATCGTCATCTAATATATATGAAGTTCGCACTTCTCCGCTGCCTTTCCTGTTCAGGGAAGAGACAGGGGGTTGAGCTACTGCAAAGCATCAGAACATCAGACATCAGACATCTTCATTTCGAATTCCCATAATTGATAGGACAATCGGCATCGGGGAACGATAAACCCTAGCCGCGGATGAGCGTCTGTTCGCTGAACAGCTCCTCTCCCCCACGACGTTATCCCAGAGGGGCGGCTCTTGACGGTGTAGGGCTGGTTACCTTAGGTACCTCCTGGCCTGGCACCCGGCTGGCAATTCGTCCCCAGCCGGATGCGAGGAAAGCATATCCGTTTAAGACATCAGATTCGAGATTGTTAACGGCTCAGCTTATCTAGTACATAGAAATGGGTCTGGGTCCCATCATAGATATCACGTACTATGTATGAAGTAGGTACCTACCTTTCCTTTTTCTTATGAGGTTAGGTAAGGTAAGGTTCTCTCTCCTTGGCCGTGAATGGTACTTCTCGAATTGCCTATAACATTACTAGTAAGTAAATACCCGTCTTTTGGTCGGCTTTCAGGCGATCTAGACCCTGCAGATAATAGAAGGAAAAGATACCACGTAGCGTCCGGAAAGGGGAGAATTGAGGAAGAATTGAGGACGAATTGAGTGCTCCGTGCTCCGTGCTCCGCGTTTTGTACGATGCAATATCAAGCGATCCGCAGTTGAACCATGACTTCGATTGACTGGCACAAAATTAAACCTGGCTATCGTCTAAGCTTCGTACAAGTATTAAATTATATACCTTATATATATTGTTTAGTAAAAGAATAAGACAAAAGGAAAATTCCACATGGAGGTTTTCAGCCAGCATATTCCATACTTTCGTACACAATAAGTAAACGAGGTTGTGGGGAGTGTGTCACAGAACAGCTCAGCCCCCAAAAGTCAGTTCCGCCTGAAAATCGCGGCAGAAGCTGATTGGACGATTAACGGCCGCTGCCTTTTAGTCCTCCATTCCTGCGGGAAACCCAGATAGTTGGGAACTAGGATAAAGAGTTTCTTTTTTTTTTGGTGTGCTTTGAGGCTTTTGAGACTTTCACTTTAAAGATGAAAACTAAACCAGTTCTGGTCTAAATCGCGGTATCTGGGCCGGTGGATCCAAGATTGATAGATAATCACCCGACGACCCGATATCAAGGTCACGTTTAATTTATACTTTTAATTTATACTTACATAGTACATTTAAGTTAGGTAGGTACCTAAAGGGCTGATTACTTACTATATAGTACTTACTTACATTAGCTAATCAACGCCTTGTAACACGGATCCCCCACACATTGAGAACGAAACCAAGAGATAACGCCAAGCCGTTGATAATCAACCAGCCAGCCTGGAGGGGAGAAAAGAGCCTTGTCTCCGTTTTACATACCTAAGGCCTCGTGACGGGTAGGTAATTACTACCTAATACACTAGCAAAAAAAAGAGTCAAAAGAGGCTTTAACTACCCTTGTCAGAATAAGACCAGGGTAAGCGAGAATTTCCTTGTAAACTCCAAAAAAGACCACCTAACTTTACGTGCGTACCTAACCTAACCGGCTTAACCCAGCTCTCCGTCCCTTTTAACCCAACCGGGGGCGGACCAAGATTTTTTCTTTGGTTCCAATGATCCCAATAGGTACCTACCCTCATTCCGGCATACGTCGGACTTTGATGGCTTTAACGTAATTTCCCCTTTCTTACTGTCCCCCATGTCTCTGAGGGATACATACATACCTAAGGTATGCCTTACGAACACGACAAACTAGGTACCTACGGTAGGTATGTAAGTTCGCTAAACTTGTCCAAGTTGATTGATGCAATGGTCTTTTTCTCATCATATCCTGCGCGAAGTTTCTTTGTCCTGTCAAGGGTCGATAAGATCCTCGGACGCCAGGCTAGCTAGGTACCTACCTACCTACCTAAAGCTTAGGGTAGCTTTTTTTTCCTTGGGCTTGAGACCTGGCGAGGCTCGGGGGGATCCGGCACTAAGGCGGGGTTTATTATTCGCACCGAGTTGTTTTTGTATTATTATTTTTTTTCTCTTCATAGCGTTGGCTAGCGGTATGGAGAAATAACTAGAAGGATCAAGTATAAGACTCACTGTGATACTTATGGGTAATGATAATAGTTAGCAACAGTAAGGTACCTACAGGTAGAAGAGAATTCCTTAGGGTTCGATTACTAGTAGCCGGAATTGAAAAAAAAAAGCCTTGTCTACCGGTTAGTAAGATCCGCTCCCACCTCGGCATCTCCATCGTGATGATAATAAATCAAGAAGGTTTTTTTTATTACCGATGTCGCGGACGCCGCGGCACGCATTTTGTAGCCGCGAATTCCATCGCACATGACTCAACAATGATCTGCACTAAGTTTCTAGATTAGATCAATCATATTAATCATTGTACAACTGTCATTATAGAGGAAATGTGATAATGTGATAGGACTTGTTCACGAGGCAATCAATCACCGGCACGTTGAAGGAACTATACAGTTGACTAATAATCTTTTTTTGAAATTTTGATTGACGGGCTTCGAAGCTTGCATGTGCAGCTATTCTAGCCTTCGCTATGTAAATGAGATTTAGATGCAGCGAGGCCTTGCGTGTTCCACTCAACCTTTCAGATTCAATCCGATATCTGCGCAAAAAAATATCATTTGCGTGGGTTGAAAACCAGGGAGCGAAACAAAGCCCCGCCTGTAGCCAAAAAAATGTTTACCGTTTTCGGTAATGCCCTTTTACGATAATCCTCCAATAGAAAATATAAACTGATGAGCGGTGACATCTCCCTCACGCTAAATGCCAAGCCTTGCTTCTAGGCTGCTGCGGTAATACCCGATACTATCCTCCTTCTCCTCCTCCTCATAATACCATAGTGAGACAGAAAAGGAAATCAAATGAAGTCGCTTGCGCTTGTAAAATGCCATGCCGCTTATTGGTATTTTCAAACGCCGCCCAGATGCAGATGAATAAATCACACAATGTGAACCAGACCCTATGCTGATACAAATTATTAAGACGAAGAAAAGGAAAAAGAGGTGATGGCAACATAAAGCTCCTTAATACACCGATATCGTAGATACTATTCGTGTTGGATTTCGCGGCGGTAAGTAGTATCCTTCACTGTAAAAGTCGCTTTTGTTGTCCTCTTCGTCTTCTTGTCTTGAATCCAGGTACTTGGTCGTCACTGTGCTCTCCTTCTGCTTCTCTGAGAATGTAGGTATTGATGCTGCTGGCGGCGACGGAGGCATTGCCTCGTCTTCTGATGAGTCCGAGTCATGCTCGAGCTCGGGCGGTGATGTTATAGAGTGAGATGGTGATCGAGTAAGGGATAGAGCGTCGTAGTCTTCGTCGTCCTCAAAGTCGTCCTCGTCCTCATCCATTAGATGTAATTGGGGAGATGGCGGTGCTGTTACTGTGTGGGAAGCTATCCGTCGTAGCGGTAATGCGTCTGCCATCTCTACATCCTCGTCCTCGTCCTCGTCACTGTCGCTGTCCGAGTCGGACGAGTCTGCCTCCCAGTCTTCCTCAACTGCATTGTCGGCCCATTGTACGTGTCTCTCTCCCGTCTTAGGTGTGGCTCCTCGGACGGATTGGTTGAACCAACTCTCTTGTTCCCGCTCGGCTTCGGCAAGGTCGAGCATCAAGGAGTCTAGTAGGTTGGCGTGACCGACCAAGAGCCGGAGGTTGTGGTCGGGACGGGCAGCCTCGTTAGATAGCTTAGCCCGTGCCTTGTGGGCAAGGAAGTATGTCTGTGTGATGGACATGGTCTTCTTCCTCGGCAGCGGTGAAAATGTGGTGGTGGTGGTTTGTGGGTGTGAAGGGTGAGTAGGAGAGTGGAAAGGTGACGATGAGGTTGCTGAAACCATTTTGTATTATCTTATGTTGATATATATGTCTGTGCTTGTCTCTTCCGTAGATATGGTGCAATATGTAGCAATAATATTTTTTTTTGTTGTGTTGTGTGAGTCAGGCACCGATTTCCGGTCAAGGGTAAGAGCAATGACCAAACAGCGAGTCCTTGTCTTATATGTTCAGTGGTGATGGTTTTGAACTTTTTTTTTCGACAGGGGTGTGGGGCGTAATTGTTGTCCGCGTTGGGTGGATGGAGTTGCCGGGGGTGTGGTACCTTACCATATACAAAGATACAATGGTACCAAGGTACGTGTACCCTACCGACCGCTGTTGTGGAATTTCGAGGCTTGCGGTGTGGAGTTGCGAGTGTTGCGTTGGAAGGGCGCCGTGCCTGTTGTAATATCTGCGTAATATCCAGGCAAAGCAAGTTCAACCACTGTGCTGCAGACAGGTAATATTGAATCTGGGCCGTGCCACGATCTCAAGATCTCGAGCTATTGGAACACTTCCTTGATACGTCCTTGATACGTCTTTGATAGATTGATACCTTAGTTATGGATATAGTGCTCGTCTGTGCGTTGCTTTGCTTTCCTTTGCTTTGCTTTGATCTCTGCTCGTTTGCTTTTCTGGAGTGTTGTCGAGTCCAATATATACCTAACCTAAGAACTTAAAAGCTGGGTTGAACGGGACGAGGACGGGATGGGGGAACAAGACCTTCTTTTGTAATGTCCCGCTGACTAGATCGTATGAGGGTTCGTTTACCCAAACCATAGGTGTACAAACGTATCGAGTTGTAATAAATGCCCATTCCGCGATAGGGTTCCGGATGGACTTTTTGAGCGCTCGGGCTTAAACGGATTGGCGGGGATTCGGATCATTCGTAATGGGCGCGCGTGGGCAGTACAAGGCCCTGGTTACGTCTAAGTACCTTAGGTACCTAAACTGGCCTTATGGTTGTAGCTATGTAGCTACGTACTAATACGTACCAAGGTACGGTACTTGGCAGCAATACCTAAATGAAATGATAACCTTAGATACCTAGGTACATACAAGCCAGCCCCAGGCAGCGCCAATCTACCCCTGTCGCTCTTACGCAAATGCGAGAAGTGCGCGATGCAAGTAAGTTGCTCCTTCACCGCAACAAAGTACCCGTACCGCTCCCACCAACGTGCCTACACTTATGTGTACGAGTCGGGCCAAGAGCCTAGGCTGCTTGCACAAGATATCGATTCGCAGTTACCTAACTTCGCCGACCGCTCCTAAATCTTGCTTAAGTCATAAGCCCGCTTCCATATCCCACATAACAAGCATTAGAAACATTAGTGGCATAAACTTTTTTTTTTCTCTTTGGCCGTTTCTTTTACATCCCTAGTAGGTATATCCTACCTCCTACCTCCGTCTACCTAATCATCCGTTAGGTTATCGGTCATCGGAGACAAGATGTTAGGTATAGTAGTCATTTGCGAACAAGCGGACAAACGGACAGGGATGGGATGAATGCAATCGTAACTACGTATACTAAGGTCTTATATTGAAAGCTTCCTGTCCACCTGGAAAGTCGGGATTGACTGCTGACCGGATTGTGGCTCTGCCGTGATACCGCACGTATTACAAGCATCTACCTCATTATCTCATTCTGCTACCTAGCTCTACTATAGGTAGCTACATGTATGTATGTATTGTACCGCATACTGATAAAACAAGTTCGCTTTCGCTTTCCAATCCATCCCGCTTACAAAAGAAATCTAAGATCGATAGTCTTGAGCAACCCGGTTCATAATTATGACATAAAACCGGACCGGCATTATAATGCCATTGCACGACTCGACATTATCGTTGCAACATATTGCAACATACAGCAAGAGTAAGAGTGATTTAGCACACTAATTCTCAATTGATCACTATATCGTTCTACGTGTTACCAATGAGTACTACGGAATAGGTACGTTGCTTACGAATCGGATCTGTGTCGGGATTGCTGAGCAATACACTGCACACATTAACACATAACCCGGCGATCTACCGGTAAGGGTCGAATAATCGGGTCTGGGGAAAAAAACAAAATTCGCTTAACGATTAATAATAACGGCGGATTTGAACTACTAGTAGCAATAATAATAATCAGTACGATTCATCATCAGCATGGCATTAGGTAAGATCATTCCGGTACTAAATGAGAATTTCATCATGATTTCTATCGCATTTGCAGCGGTAAGATGCAATTTTCTTTCATTGATAATCACATCACTACTACCAGGCTCTGACTCTTCCCCGTCGTCGCGTCCCTTCTCTAGTAGTCGTAGTCTTCCTAGTACCTTATGTAGTACCTAATTCTAATTCCCCAAAGTCCGCATATCTCCGTGTATAGGTACTATCCCAAGGTGAATCCGATCGATCAATTAAACGCACATGCATAAAATAACGAACCTACAGTTGAGTAGGTACCTAAAGTTAATAGGTTAAAATGTCGGCCCAATATCAATGACGACATGATATTAGCAAAGCCGCCTTGCATAAAATGACAAATCCACGAAACAACAAGCCAAGAATAAAGTACCTATCGGTATGCTGTCGCAATCTAATCAATCCTCGTCACAAGGATGTTTTTGTCACAGGACTTCCTAAGGAATATATCGGGTTTGGGAGACAATTTCTTATCTACCAACCCCGAAGTCATCCGTTTTACTATGTACAGACTTTCGGCCCCGTCATAAACCCGTTGGACCCGTGGCATCCGCAAAGGAAAAAGGATCAATTAGTTTGGTTTAGTTTAGTTTCAATTCAAGTTACTCAACTAGGTCAAGCATCGCTATGTAGGTTAGGTACTTTCCAAAGCCGTTTAGGCCGCCGTTAGTTACAAAGTCAACATGTCATCATGTACGTAAGGCACCCGTACAACTCATCAGTTTGTATGTTAACCATAGCACAATACAGTCACACCGTAGCAGGTAAAGTGGTATTTATTATTTTATTTTATTTCCGCCAGTCCTCGGTAAGGTCTCGCGACCGAGACTTATACACGCGGTCTCTCCCCCAGTTTATCAGTTATCCATATGGCATCGCTCGTCGTCCACATGGCGCAGTTTGCGAGGACGCATGCGACGTAGCTAAACCCTGATCGCACCCTGAGCGCAACCTGGGCGTCATGTCACGAGGGATTCAGGGACACCCGTTTTTCGCACTTGCGTCGTAACCTTTATCGAGCTTGTGGATTATAATTACAAACGCGGTAAGGCTACATTATTCATTTCAATCGTCGCTTTATTAGATGTTGCATTCCCAAGGGTGACCCCTTCTTCAGTGCCCCTTTGTTTATGAATCGCATACTCAAGTTGATTGGGTATCCGGGTTCTTTTGTTCGAGACATGCTTGCATAATGCTAATACAAGCTGCATTGTACTTTGATGCAACATTGGGCATTCATAATAAATAAATTGCTTCCAGAAGATTTCCAATTCCGTTGATGCGACGCTTACAATTCTTGGCGGCTTAGCCTTCTCCTGTCGATTGATTCCACTGCGAACTTCGAAACAAACGATGTGGAGAGCATCATAGAAAAAGTACAGTACCTACAACTAACAAGATTTATCAAGTGACAAAATGTAGTGTACCTTATGTACCTACCTACGTGATATGATTCAAAAATGCCTTTAGACTGGCCCCTGTCAGCTTACATACGCCAGTTCAGCCCCGGTAAAGTAGAGAGGTACTTTAAAGCACGAAGTACGGACGTAGGTATTTGTAAAAGCACCTGAAGGTACCTAATGCAGGGGTACAATTGTAGGGCTGAACCTTAATTACCTACATTATTACGTATCCAAGTCAGGATAAGTCAGGTACATGTATACATATTTACGTTGGGCATCCAAAAAAAGAAAAAAAGGTCGTTCAATGATTTTTGGTTTAGTTTAGGTTAGGTACCTGTTACCGTATTACCGGAAAGTTTATAAGAGATTTGTCTTTCTTTTTCCCCAGGATCTCCGTTCGGCTAGGTACAACCAATACCAATTCTTCCTCATGACTACGTATTTGCCAATGCCGTCTTTCGCTTCGCCCAACCTTATAAGGATAAGTCGGGGATTCATAGTGAGACCGCTATTGGTTAGTTGATTGGTGTCGATGGCAACGTAGCAATGTTATCGTTAGCCAAGCTCTTTTGGCATTGGCATTCTGTGGCTTTGCAATTTCGATTGTCTTTACTTCTCGTACAAGTCGCTCATCTGAACCAATACAATTCCTGCACAGACGTCAAACCCCGGATGGCTTACTTCGTACTGCTAGTATTACCTACTAACTACGATAATCATAGATGGGATGGCTCGATGCTGCTAAACCAAGATCCAAGTCCCTAGGAAGAGACGGGACCGGGTCGGAATTGGTCCAATATGCCTATTCTACGGTGACTTGGCGAATCACTCGGAGACAATGTACATCATAGCTTACCATTCGCCCGGGGGGTTAAAATCCTTACAAAAGAAAATCATCCTAACAGATGCATTGGTTACGGGCATGTTGACAATTTAGGATACATTGTCTAAATTAATCAGTATTGCAGTATCAAAACGAAATCTTAGCATGAGAATGCAATGTCTCGGGAGGGTTGCAGAGAAGACTATTCCCTCGTACTTCAACCTTTCTACGAAACCTTCCAGAAGGCTTCTCTCGCGTGTATACACGTGGTGGAATCTGCAGCAGACTTGCTTGGGCTTACGTTAAAAACGCTGCTCGAAGCTGGAGACAAATCAGCCACTCAAATTGCAGCGTTCGCTCTTAGATGCACAGATCTGATACAGCGGCTAGCTCGCGAATGTCACCCAATACCCAGTTTACTTTATGAAAAGGGTTCACAGCCTTTTTGCGTCCATGCGGATAAGCTAGACAAGCAGACCGGCATGAAATCCTTTTACTCGCATCTAACCTTTACGAGTTCTTGAAGGGTACCCAATATAGATGCCTACCTAGGTATCCAATTCCCCTTTCTAGTGCAGGCGCAAACCTTCTCCAGCATGGCTAC